AAGTCCATTTATTTCATTTACTTTATTTTCAGATTCTTATTTTTTCCCCGGCAAAACGTTTTCCGCCAGGATTGACCACCGTATTTAGTACACTATATTTGTAGAGGCTAATTTTATTTTATTTTTCCATTGAACTTGAAGACTTGTGGTGCCCTGAACATCGGTGTGTCTTGAAAATGAAGGCTATATAGCCCCGAAATGAGGATTTTGGTGCCCCTGGCCCCCCCTCCGGTTCCGCCCCTGGCCATAGTTCATAAAAAAATGCCCAGGACAAAAAATATGCACCATTGTATTAACACTTAAACAAGGAACACACATTTTAGGTTACACGCCGCCACGAGACATGGTCTCGCATATAACATGATGCTTTAAAGCTGAAAAGTGCGATTGCCTGGTAAATTTGTATTGGCAAATTGTCCTGGCATATTGGGATCAATTATTGACGTAACAGAAAAACTATTACCAATTGTGATATCTTGTTCAGACCAATCCGCTCACGTTTTCCGCTAAGCTCGATCATGATTAGTTTGGAAAGAACGGGGGTGGGGGCGTGGTCACATCGAACTCCCTATCAGCACGCGTCATGAAAAACGGCGAATTAGGGCGGGGGCTAAAAAGTTAAGTTAGCTATATGCTTATCAGCGTCTGCTCGGTTCCTCCTTAATTTACTACCCTCTGTTTATGACAGAAATGAAATAAAAATGAGCGTTTTAAGAAATCTCATTTTTTTCTGCGGCATGCGATGGTCCAAGAAGCAGGAATGGCCCCATGCGGCCATCCCTTGGATCCACCACTGGAGTCATATCATAACACTTTGATCGTCTTTGTGTTCAAACGACCGTCTCATCTGTGACTTCGATACCGTGACAGTGTGATATTATACGGCGATTTACTGTGTACCGATGCAAAGAAAACCTGTATGGTTACATGACTGCTCCTAATCTCCAGATCATTTGTGGATGGTCGATGAGTGAGCCTGTAGTCTGAGCAGGATGAACATCCCGACTGGAAACTTCAAGAACTGGAAGGATGAAAGTCGTCAATGGCAGGCCTCCTCTTTCCGTGGTACTTCTCCAACCAAAGCGAACAATGCAATGGTCAGAGGTGCGCTGGTGGCGGACCCTGGCGTCAAAAGTGAAAACAACGTGGGGACACTGCAACAATAACGTGGTGTTACTCGAGTTCTTAGAGTGAAATCGAGGTGGAGTAGAAGAAAGACCAAGAATAGCATGACTCTCCCCATGATCAAATTTCATACGAAGTAAAAATAGGCCTTAAAGTTTGGCAAGGGTCAGGGGGAATGGTTTTGCACTACGTTGATAATGTATGTTTCCCTTTATCAGTGTATTTTGTTTTTTATCCAACCCTCTTATCCTCTTGTTTGCTTCATCCTGCATCTTCGCAACACCCCGTTTTTCCGGGACAGGTTGCGTGCGTCAGCCACGAGCTGGCCCAGAGGCCCCCTGAGAAAGGAGATCCCGACTGGGTACCCAGCGCACATGCGTGTATTAAGGCTGGACGGTTGGCCCCCCGGGCGCGTGCAAGCCTGCCCCACCGTTAACCATTCTCCTCCATCCCGTAGCTCTGAAATGATCATTTATGGTCGAAAGGGCTCTAATTCAAACAACCAAACCAAATAATTAGAAAAATAATCGTAAAAAGCATATCAACACGATAATATACCATTCATGCGGAAGCGCTACTAATCAAGGTTGCCTGATCCAACAGTATTGTTCAGATTTGACCTCCCATCAGGACAGATGTCGATGTCAAGGTTGAATATACATACATGTGTATACATATTAATAGACACAAATCACCTGCTTTACCAAACTTAGTGGTAGTGTCCAAAATTCTAAGATTTGGGAAGGCGGGGCCTTGTGAAGTCATTTCTGGTTCACAACCCGCGCTCCCCCCCCCCCCCCAAACTGCTTCACAATTGCTTCCACACCCTGCGGAAACTTGCAAGGTACAGATTTCCAAGGAGAGATGTCGTCAGTGAAAGAGATCATTGCAGATAGTAATCGCTGAGCCGTAAAAATATTTTACTAATGGATAGAAATCTGCGTAGGAATGTACAACTAATAAGTATAGAGCATATAAATATATATATATATATATATATATATATATATATATATATTTAAATCCGCATCCGAGTGATATTCTTGTGTAAGTTTTCACACCGAGTTGGATTCACTTTTGCTTAAGCCGCAGTCCCAGTTGGGGGTCCCAGTCCAAGTCCCAGTCCCAGATGAAAAGTCCAACGTTTCATCATGATCGTGGATGTATGCAAAACACAAACCAACCGGTAGGCACGTACCGCGGTCCTGTGGCTCGCCACAACACACTGCCACCTAATCGATGGTGACAGGCAACACTTGTGAACTGACGCGTGTCACGTAGGGCTGTGCGCTGTGGCGGGCCAGGAGCCAGTTGCGTCCCGGAAATTGGACTGCCTTATTATGCGTCCCCCAGTAAGCGCTGGCCATTAAACTACGCCGACACTTCGCTGGCCTGTTTCACACAGCCGGGCAATGGTGCCTGGGGCTTAAGTACCCCGGAGAACGACAGTCCTGAATACTCTGATATATACTTTGCCTGAAGTCTAGAGAACACAGCGTGCGTCTAACATAAATGTTTTGCAGTACATCAGTGAATAACCCTGTGACGAGAGAGAGAGAGAGAGAGAGAGAGAGAGAGAGAGAGAAGAGAGAGAGGAGAGAGAGAGAGAGAGAGAGAGAGAGAGAGAGAGAGAGAGAGAGAGAGAGAGAGAGAGAGAGAGAGAGAGAGAGAGAGAGAGAGAGAGAGAGAGAGCCGGACTACATTGGATGAACGGCAAAGAAAATCCATTTCGCTAGTTACCTTAGACTGTTTTCTTTAAGTATTTTAATGTGGATTCCAGGCCACGCTTTGCTTCTCTTCATCAGCTCGTAATTGGCGTACAAATGCAAATGCAATTCAGCGCGATGGGCAAGCGCATTTGTAACACGCAGAGCGTCACTTCATCCGCAGTAAGATGATGGTTGAGTCAATGCGACTTATTAGAAACCACTGGGCGCAAATTCAAGCGGATAAAATCCGAGGAGAAATAAAGTTTCATGGCACGCTAGATTAACCCTGTCACTTCACCCTCCTCCCTCTCTCCCACCGATTTTCGGAAGTAACCCGTCCGGTCATATGGTCTTGAGTTACGTCGCCGGCAACAAGAATTTGTTCAGCAACAAAATTACACTTTAACAACCTACGTTTGGGGTCATCCATCAACAAGCAAAAACGCCAGCAGTGCTGCTCGTAAGTATATGTCATGCCCTCGCTGTTGCACCAAATAGCTTAGGCAAGTTGAACGCTAGGATTAAGCTTGCGTTGTTTTTAAATTGTGCGTTGTCGAATTCACAACATGACTGCACTGGACTGAACAATTTGACTACATTTGTATGTATAATGATTACATTTGCCCTGAAGACATCTATAAACTGGAAAACAAGAATGTGCTAATTTTACGTAACCGACGTGGCAATCCCTATTATTAAGAAACCTGCGTACAAGGGAACGGCAGCACTGCCTGCTGTGTCCCGTGACTGAAATCGCTCGTTTTTGCCAAGGTTTACCGTCCCGGAACCACGTCCGTGAAGACAGCCCGAGCTTGGTGCTTACATCAGCATTGATTTTCATATGCTGGCTGATTTCGTTGGCATCCTTCTTGCGATCAGATCTACATTCATCGAATTTAATGGAAAATATTACTATGGCGTTCCAATGACATGCCCCTTGAAATGTTCTATGTCGCTTCGAATATGACGTTTGAAAAAGAAACTGCGGCTGTTTTCTGCAACAACTCGATAGCTTCTCGAGCTTTTGTGAATTTGGCAAACTTCCGGTCTCAGTGGTTTATGTCATGTTAAATAATGTGCAAACGTTACAATAAATGCCCCAAATGTGAGCGATCTGCCATTGCACTGGGCTGGGTCATAACCTGATGTCATTTGGTGTGACTAGATTGCACAAATATCGTGACTGGAATACTAGAGGTGTCCAAATGCTTTTATGGGCGCTTGGGTTACCCACCGGACGGCGCCAAATTGACCCTGTGGTCCTGAAAATCTCAAAATAGGTCAGTTCTCTTACCTTCGGAGGCAAAACTTATAACACTGCATAAAAAACAGCACTAGCTCATAAGTGAGGTGTTACCGGTGTTAGCGGCTGCCCCGAACGACATCTAGCCCAAATCTGCAGATTCTCAGTGCTATCGGCTGACCAATGAGGATCAGTCTTAATACCAATGCCAAAATTTGGCTGTCTTCACGGTCATTCCGCAGTCGTAGGTCTCGCTGTCCGCTGAGCCGAGCCGCCCTTTGGACCAGCCTGTGGATAGAACCCATCCGCACCATCTCGAACTGAAGACGGCACCATCTGCTGGCCTTGGCTGTCCGTGGCCGCGGATGGTGGCACCGTCTGCCAAGCTTCACAATCGCAGGCGCAGACCACATAGCCTGCCGAGCTTCACTATCCTGGAATCACAGACGTTGTCGGGGCGGAACAACTGAAGACGGGCCGCAATCAGTTGCAGCCCTGCCAATCCACGCATTTAACCATGACTGCCAACATGCAGTGAATTGAACACCACGGTGCGCGGTGCACAATGCCCAGGATTGCGGCAATCGTGAGCACTCGAGGTTAGAAGTCTGTTTCGCCTTCGTGAGTGGATGCTTATTTGATTTCCTCACATCCGTGCCCATTCTCCTCCTGCTGGCGTGATGCGCTGTAGAAATCAGCGACGGCCAGTGCCCGTCTCCCTCCTTGACGACGCCTGCACGCTCCGCCAGATCGCTATCCCGATGTTTCCCCCTCATTTCGGCCGAACCGCAGCCGAACATAGCGCCGCCCGCACAGCGCGGCAAGGCACTCACTGGAGAGCCATCTGCAGTCACTTCTGCGAACTAGTATCGACCTGAGCCGCTCTGCCGGCCCGCAGCCAAGACGAGCCGTCCGCCCGGCGCTGAGCGAATCCGAATGCGAGCGAGCGTGAGCGAAATGAGTAGATGATAGTGTCCGCGACGGATAGGTGCGTGGAGCCGCGCGACCGCAGTGCTTGGACTGGGCAGTGAGTATTCGGCGGAATGCCACACAGCAGGTCTGGAGACCCAGTGGATTCGCAGAGTCCCTGACGTGTCTGAAAGCTGGGGAGAAGTTTTCACCATGCTTAGCACGATGGCCCTTGATGTCTGTACGTTGAACAGGTGTCTTGCTGTCCCATTGCATGATCATGCTGTGAGTCAGGACCAATGATTTTCACCCCCTTTCAGCGAAGATCTTATGCCCTTCAGAGTATTTTCCGTCTCATTGAAGCCGTACGTGCCCTTTTATCTTGATTAGTTGAGCTCATATCAATTACCGAATAGAGGTTTAGCTCAGATCTACAGACTCAGGGAATCCATTCCTAATAGTGACTTGAAATGCTGCGGTTTTCTCAGTTGAAAACCTCCATTTGAGCGGCAACATATATAGATATAATCTCAACGCAGGCGGACGCGCATGTCAACAATGTTTCGCAGGAGAACGGGTTGAATCGAATTCGCCCAGGTTATCGGACGCTATGTCTCTGCTTCCGATTACAGGTGACTTTGCCACACTCGTTGTTAATTTGGTTGAAGGAAATCCTTGCGAGGTGAAATATGTTTGGAGCGATTTAGAATCATGCACAGAAAATTCGATCAGTTTTTATGAGAGGTGCAGTTCAACGTCTTATTGTAGAGGCTACCACACAGCTTTGCAGTCAGCTCCCTCCTACCACACACACACGCACACACACGCACACACACACACACACACACACACACACACACACACACACACACACACACACACACACACACACACACACACACACACACACACACACACACACACACACACACACACACACACACACACACACACGCACGCACACACGCACGCACGCACGCACGCATGCACGCACAGGAGGGAGTGGTCTAAATCTGTGGAGAAATTGCACTTAGCCTGAAAATAGAAGCAGCTTTCGTCATTTGCACCTAATCCAGACCCTCAACTGGTGTTATGAAACTATGCCCCGGGTTTTGAGGTAGGCAGGAGCGGTATGTTCTGTACATAAACGAAGAAACGTGCTGCCGGATCCAAGTGTGTGTCAGTTCCGCGCGTCCCCGTCACGTTTTATGCTCACCAGCGCACGGCGGTGCAATTCCTCTTGATATTTTTGGAAGTCGTTTTCCCGAATTGGTTTCCTGATCCCACTAAAATTGTCGAGCCTTCGAACATTTCCACACCTTACCTGAGAGTCTTTATTCCTTACCATTGCACTTTATTGGATCATACCCTCGTAGTCAAAGATCTACGAAAAAAAGATCGCCTTTCTCCTGCATATATCACGCATTGTCAGTACTGTACGCGCCAGATCGTCCCGCCAAGTAAACCAGGAGATGTGAAGCGGTTTAAGGGAGTACTTCGAATTTCTATGCATTTTTTAACTGAGACACGGACTTTGAAGATCATTTGGTGCAGCTCACAGTCCTATCTAGTGCAGTCCTGTCCTTACAAAGACACGAACTCCTCTAGTTTCTTAGCTTTACGCCCGCGGAGGTGTGCAGACTATTTCGGAGAGGCTTTTTAAGGTCACCCAGGCATCCATGACGCCATGGTAACGTTATTCAAATCCTGCCACTTCACTGAACATGCGGCGACCAGCGCCAAGAAAAATATAATTGTCTAGTGGTTTATGTCTGGCGCTCGCGGGCGCGATTTCCAGATATGACGGCCGTCAATTGGCTCTCAATCAGCGTTGTGCAAGGTGCGATGACGCGGTGAAACAATAACGCATTGAGGAGCATGTTTACTCAGCAGAGAAATTATGTTGACTAGAGCTGGCTTTTCCAGTTCAAAGTATACCAATAGTTACGAGTGAGCTTATTACATCATACCTGATGCTTGCTTCAATGTCTTATGCCTGCTTGCTTCATGCTTGCTTGCTTGCTTCAATCATCACATCATAAATAGAAATGGCTGGCGTGGTCCTGTTGCAACGCGAGCAATACTAGGGTGTGCAATGGGCAGAGTCCGCACACAGTTCATGTTGGTGACTTTTGCACAGGTCGAGATACGCTCCCAATACACGACATTTTGACGCTGACTTTAGACTAGCCCACGCGACGTGTTTTGCGCTAACCAAAACAACAGTCACCAATCCTATTGCGCTGAAATGCTGACTTCGGGGTCACCCACCACCAACGTCAAGACGAGTCTAGCCTTGCGAATCGTCAGGTCGGGTCTAGCCCTGCGAATCGTCAAGACGGGTCTAGCCTTGCGAATCGTCAAGCCGAGTCTAGCCTTGCGAATCGTCAAGATGGGTCTAGCCTTGCGAATCGTCCAAAGTGTGTGTCAGTGGGGGGGGGGGGGGGGGGGCTCAGTCGTGAGTGCGGTCGGCGTCTGTTGGGAGCGTGGTCAGCCTCTGAATGTGAGGTCTGGGTGCGATCCTCCCGCTGACGCTGCCGATCTCCGACACTGATGGCCGCTGCTGTCGCCAACGCTCCACAGAGCGCCGTGCGATGACAGAAACGGTGCAGCCTTTTCTGAAGGAAGAAATCTTTCGAGTTAGTGTTCGCTGACCGATTATGTTATACCCACATTGTCGTATCACGTGTTGGGACACATCGCTTGCGCGTTCAAGACCATCCGTCCAGAAATGACCATCATCCAGAAATGCTGGTCTTGCCATGAAAACCCCAATTCCGTTGGCTGTTTTTCCATCAGCCAAGTAGGTCCCGAGATATCTAGGTGGGGAAGGAGAAGGGTAGTCGAACCCTTCCCCATAACCTTCTAAATAGAAAAATCGTTTCATATAAAAAAGAGATAGGCAAAAACCTCGGCGAAAGTTATGAACTTGACAACCGAAAGAAACTTGGCTCGAAATCCCCTCTACATGTAGCTTTATGATCTCCAGTGCCAGAAGAGAAGAACATCTGAAGCGTTACTGCGTTCTCTAGTATCCATCCTCCTCTTCATCTGGGGCATCACCGATATGTGCACGTATAGATCACTGGAAGTTACCATGCATTCACAGCGAGGCATCCCGTAATGGCATTCGTGCTGACAGTGGCAATGCAATTTTACGCGTGAGTGTGATTTTACACCAGAATCGAAAGACTCTACCTGTGTAAACTGACGCCGACATTAAGTGGGTGGGGCGGTTTGACAACCGCTGCGGGTTGACACCGGATTTCAAAGATTCTGGAAATTTGGAACGCTTGGGCACCACTCATATCATAGTTACCGTCTGCCCGTAATGTCCGTTATAATACCCGTTACGTCATAATACCCGTTTTGCGTTTTTTGTTTTGTTCTCAGTGCATCGAAAGATCAGCATGGTGTTACCAACTGAAACAAAAATTTGCGTTGCGGGCAGATAATATTGTTCAATTTCCAAGATCATGTACACAAGCCACGGACACCATGAATGGCGTCATACGAACTCCACAACTACAATGCAATCCATATGGCAAAAAGACAGTTCATGGTCGGAGATAGTTGGAGAAATAGCTTCTGAGACCTCAGAGTATCTCGAGACAATTAGCTTTTATCTCGAGGATACTCCTAGTCTTGATATACTGTCCATTTGTTTCGCAGCGGTTGTTCAAACGCTCCGAGATGTCCAAAGCACCTTTAGCTGGCGAAAGAGCCCCGGAATGGTCAAAATCATAACTCCACCGGGGATCCTTGAGCGTAGTTTCTCCGGATTCTATGAGAACATCTGCCTTATGGCTTATCATGGCAGTGACCTTCCATGACAGCTCCCTACAGTCGAAGGGAAGCCGTAGAGGACTTCACGGTTTGAATGAACCGGCGGGTACCAACATGGAATCGATAACGGGCAGGTTAAGAAACAGATTGTGTAGGGTTATGGGTGCGGCTGTGATCTTTACAAAATGTGCAGATGCTTCAAGAAATGCTACATGTGAGTTCTTAGGCTTCTCTCCGTCACAGTTAGCTCCATTCACATTAGTTTTATCACTTCAAACATGTAAGAGTCAATCTGTATGTAACCTTTCCCGAACCTTTTGCATACGTTAGACATGAGTTGCTGGAATTGTGGCTCAAACGCCCGGGTAATTGATAGGTTTAGGTGATTAGGCTTGGGTAGCAGGGGAGTATAGCCACTGCCCCATTGACGATGAGTGAACTGTGTAATGGAAATATTTCCCGTGGAGGCCTCTAGAGTGCCTTCCCAGTCAGACACTGTGTCGCGACGCTCGCGGCTGGGGTGACGGCAGAGGGTGCCGGAACTGTGCCGCGACGCTCGCGGCTGGGATGACGGCAGAGGGTGCCGGAACTGTGTCGCGACGCTCGCGGCTGGGGTGACGGTAGAGGGTGCCGGAACTGTGTCGCGACGCTCGCGACTGGGGTGACGGCAGAGGGTGCCGGAACTGTGTCGCGACGCTCGCGGCTGGGGTGACGGCAGAGGGTGCCGGAACTGTGTCGCGACGCTCGCGGCTGGGATGACGGCAGAGGGTGCCGGAACTGTGTCGCGACGCTCGCGGCTGGGGTGACGGCAGAGGGTGTCGGAACTGTGTCGCGACGCTCGCGGCTGGGGTGACGGCAGAGGGTGCCGGAGCTGTGTCGCGACGCTCGCAGCTGGGCTGACGGTGGCGGGTGCCGCTGGTGTTGCAGGATGGCGGCCGAGAGCGGCACCTGAGGCCTCTGCGGGCGCCGCGACGTCCGGACGCCGCCACCATTCTCTACACCTTCCACTGGTCCATCCTCAAGCATGGCGCCTCGTCGGCCACCGGCGGTACGTGCGACTTGACGATCCTGGGCAGCGCCTGGCCACGCCACGACTTCGTGCACGCTCCTTTGTTCGAAACCTGTACCTGCAAGCAGGCTGAAAGTGCCTCCATCCAGTTGCGCGGCTAAAGTATCCAAGCAGTTCGGATAAGAGTCTTGAATTTGTATGATATTTTCTATCCATTCTTTCTACGCACATACTTGAAACTTCACAGCTAAAATCCAATAAACGGTGGCTTTAGAAGCAGGCTTGAGCACAGCTTAGACGAATTCCATGCATTTTTGTTTGCAGTTGATCTGCTCGGAATAGGTCAGACGCTTCCAAACAGTATATGTAAAATCATCGAAACGTTCCGTTCACTGAACATCGCTGATTTCTGGGAAGCGCTGTTGTTAAACGATTTCAGATGACAAAAGTTAAGTCAGAAAACCGAGGGCACAGTTGTTTATTGAGGGAACAGGGGTAACAGCTGCCCAGAAACCGAGAAAAGAGAGAAACGGCTCCATGCCATACATTCATTGCATTACATTGGTAAAATACCGGATCTAGGTGCAAATGCTCTACCTCATGCAGGAAGAAGAACAGCTGCGCACACACATATGTGAACGGGTTCGCTCATTCATGGATTTCTAAAGGAGGTTTTGGAATTCGATGTAAGCAAAAAAGGTCTCCAAATCCCGGGTGTTTGGCTTACGAGTTGAAGCTCTTGTGCTGAGTTATCCACCTCCAATATGCCAGGATGTACTAATAAAACGGCGTTATAATGTAATCATTTTTAAATACTCATATCGGTAGATTGTACTGCGAGTATTTGCTTCAGGCCATTTGGAAGCCGTCCATTAGATTCTGGGAGCTTGCTATGAAATAAGGTCGCCCAAGTCATACACTGAGAGATTTTCAGGTCGGTTCAAAGCACCTCTGTGCTCATATCCAAGTGTCAGGCAGACGCACAAAAATGCCATTAAAAGCAGAGTAGTTCGGGCTAAGTAGGAGACGGCACCAAAGTTCCACTTATAAAATAAAAAAGCACTCTGGTCTGTGGTTGCATCATTCTTTTTTCAAAGCTGAGTAGAATCACTAAACACTAAAGCAAGTAAACGTAGGAAAGTCAGACTGTGTCGTGCCTGCGTTTTCAAGTGCATTACTGGCATCAGCCTAAAACACTAATAGTCCTGGCAACGGATGACTATCGAGCACTGCACCGTCGAAAATCAGACTCCAGATGTTATTAAAGATCATTGGAACTCACGCCACCAAGAAAAAAAGCTTCATAAAGCGCTGTGCGTGCACTTATGCAACGCAACCTTTATAAACAAGAGACTCAGTGTCTGGGAATAGGGTAACCGATCATATGTGAGGGGAGGGGGGGGGGGGGCAAAGTCAATGTCTTGGGATCCAACGAGTTGCGGAATCACACCGTTGAACAATAAGATCGCCACTGCCACCGGGATCACAGAAGACCGTCACTGCCAAAGGGATCACACAAGACACCTAGGACAGGACACCCCTGGCACTGCTGGTATCACCTTGTCTGACCAATCTTGATTTAACCGTTAGTTCTGCTAACTTCTCCGTTTTGCCCTTAACTTCTTTACCCAAATGACCTGTTCCACGTTTTTATCCGCCTCTTTCTTCATCACCGCTTTATTTAGAATTGCATTTCGTCCTTGAAATTTTTGGCTTGTAAGATTTCTTTCACCTCGAGCTCCGACCCTCCTGATGTTTATCTTTATTGACTGCTATCTAGTCTGCATTTCTTCCCTTGCTCTTTTCGCGGCGTCCTTTCTTTATCTGATTTCTTTCGACCCTTTCTGTGGACGCTCTCTCGTCCACTATTTCTCACTTGACCTTTACCGGAGTGCCGTGCTGCCCGGCGCCGCGTCATCTCTCGGCCATTCGAGGCCACCCGGGCCGTAACGTCCGGCCGCGTCCTCAGGCGACGCGGCGATGGGCGAGACGAAGCGAGGCCGCTCGATGAGCGTTCCCGGCCGGCCGGCGGCCGCTGGCGCCGGCTCGCCGTGGTCGGCCGACTCGGCCGGCGGCGCCGGCTCGCCCGCCACCTCGTCCGCCTCGGCCGAGCCGGACGAGCGGTCCGGCGAGCTGGTGCAGGTGACGCTGGGTCGGCCGGCCGGCGCCGCCTTCGGGCCGCCGTGCGTGGTGCCGACGCTGTCGACGTTCGCCCCGGCCCGGCGCGGCAGCCTGGAGCGGGCCGGCCGCGGCCGCCGCGCCAGCCCCGAGCGCCGCTCGCTCAGCCGGCAGTCGCAGGCAGCCGCGCCGCGCGCCCAGGCGGCCGCGCTGCACTACCCGACCCCGCTCGAGCCCGGCCCGGCCGGCTACGACCACCCGCTCGGCGACGCGGCCAGCGGGCGGGACCTGCAGTCACCAGGTACGTCACGAAGGACTCGTGATCGCCAGCTAGATGATGCTGCTATTATCAAACACGTCACAACTGCATCTGCAGTGGCCAGTTTCTTCACAGCCGGACCATCTGGCTAGCTTTGGGTCTTTATAGTGCCATCATGACGCATTATACGCCATGTTTAGAATGAACGAGCATTTTTGATCGTGCAATCTTCTCCAGAGTCTATGCAATAACTGCCAACAACCATGCATCTCCGTTTGGTGCGTCATGTCGTGGCCATTGTTGGAATATTTGATGTTACTGGACTACATGAACCACAAAGTTCTGCGCCGCGGGCCTGTGTCCGCATCAGCATCGATCATGCCGGTCGCGTTGTCGCTGGTTATGGGTGTCTCTTGTACATACATACATGCATCTGCTCGGCAGTGTACAGCCGGCGCCAGGAAGACCAGGGCCTTTACCCAGAGGAGTCACCTCCATTGACCAGGGACGAACTGGGACGACCCAAGCCTCCTGCCAGCTTCACGGTAAGCGGTTGCTACGGCAACAGAACCATGCTGCTGGTCCGCTGAGCAGCGAGTCCACTCTGGACTGACGGAGGCTGTCAATCAGAAAACGCAGAACCAGCACCAAGTGCCAAGTGAGTGTGGCCCTTCGCCTCCCTGGTTCTCCGCTGGCACTGGCACATATCACGCGGCGAGGTCGACCACCATGTGCCATCGCCGCCACCAGCACAGCAGCTGCGTCTCCCTGCGGGCTCACTGGTCTTCGTCTCCCAGTTGTCTCTGCAGAGCGGTGCGGCTGCGTCTCCATTTCACCCTGCTCCTCCATGCAGGACGATGTGGCCCGAGCAGCGTTCAACGCAGACGCCCGTACCGACCACGGCTACACGGCAGACGACGAGTACGAGGAGCGGACGGTCAAGCAGATGCTGCGCAGGTGGGTAGGGTGTGAAGGCTGAAGAGGGCCGGGCGCCAGGTTTAAAAAGGCGGGATGGAGGGAGCACGTTGCGCGCAAGGCATCAAACGCGAGGACACCACGGCAGTCGAGACTGTCGGGGCGAGATTTGCGCATGCCCTAATGTTTTGTTAAGAGAAGACGTAAAATTACAAGGTGAATGCATTTTTATGTGATGACGTCAAAGTCATACCATACATGTTCTGGGTGCTAGCTAGCTATGGCTGGTGTCATCCAATAACCACCATCGAAGACGGTTACCGAAATTTAAATCCGCTCAATGTTTACCTCCAATTTGGATTTCCTCTGACGACTACCAAACCAAGATACATCGAAATAGATCTTTCGGCACTTTATGAACATATGCAACGCACGCACATGACCTTTTTTGACACGTGTAAGTACTTTTTAAACGTGGCCGACGGGGTGGTAATGGAAGCCTGCATGGAAAACTATCGCCGTATCTACTGGATGTTCTAAAAATAGCAGACGAGCATGTCGCGAGAAACGCATTTGCCACTATCAAACCGGATAATGCTGCCCATTCGTTTGGTCAATTTTACCCAAGCAGGATTTCTTTGAATAAATAATGTCATCCATGTTTCTTAGCGATCGCTTCGAAAAATCACTTTGAGTTAAAATAAATGCATTCCAAGTGCTAGAAACTCCATAACGCTTCACGGCACGCTTCAGAATTTGTAATGGTAAGCAAAGGCGTCATAATTATCCCAAACGTAGGTGTGCTCAGCGGTCACAAGTGAGTCGCAGCAGGTCGACGGTTATAAGCAATGACATATTGCCTGACGACGTGTAAGGCTTGTGTGTGAGGCTTGTGTGACGTGCAAGTGCTGCAACGCACAGACGAAACTTCAACGGGCCTATCCGGCTGTCACGCGGTCAATAAGTCAATAGCTTTACAGTCATTGATCACATCTTCATGCAGCTTTTAGCAACAAGAAGTGCAATTTTTTTGGACCTGATGGTGCAGTTAATTCTAATTCCACGCCCCGGCCTGTGGAAGTTGACTGCCCCTGCGGTTTTTCGAGTACAGATAAGAAAGGAGTACTTGGGGCAATGCGAAATTTTCACTTGCTTTTTAATTTATTTATTTGGCATCCTTTGTGTGGAGTTTGAGTTTTCATCTACCAATATCAGTGACCTAGGCTGGGCCAAAAGGGCAACCTCCAAAAACTTTGACCACACGCAACTTTGTAGTGGGTCATAGTGCATGATAATATCTACAGTTTACAGACTTAAATTTTTTCGAAATAGCCAAGGTCAGCGATTGAAGCCGGGTCATTTTTTGCTATTTTTCGTAGATGATACAAATTTTTACCCAGTTTTGTATAGCTTTGGCACTTGCATGTGAAGAGAAGAGTACCAACTCACGTGCACAGCCATCACAAGACCACAGAGCACATGATCATAGTGTAGGTCATGACGTACCTCTATTGTTGCCTCCTGCAAAACACGCGAGCGTGAATGGTAAGAATGGTAGTTTAAGCAATTTTACTGACAACTATGGACGCAAAATTAGAAGAATCCACCTAAAATATGCTGTGATATGCATAATTAGGTCACGATAGGTCACATGAGGACATGTAATGTTATATGCGGTCATCCAAGGTCAACGACCTATGTTGCGGATGCGGAGAGGCAAGACGAACAAATTCCACGCACGTATCCACCTCCTTATGATATTTGTGAAGCGGGTGACGCATTATTTCATTTACCAACGTGCCTGCCCTCAGTTTATCACAAATGCATTGCCAAGCGTCGAAGAGGCTATGCACAATGTGGACAACAACTATGCGATCTCGAGTACCTGTAGATATGCAACACACTATTTCTGACCGCAGAAAAGCATCGTACTGGTCTAATAGACCTGGTTACTACCCCATCCTGTTGCCATTTGAATTGTGATATGTTGACTTAAATTGACCTTAAATGACCTCTACGTCACCCTAAAATTATAGTTTTGTGTCTGGGTTATTTCGATCCGGCAGCTGCACCTAATAAAATGAACTTAGTTTGAAGCACCTCGTGAAAAGCACTTCTATTATAGTCTACTGGCAAGCCAATTTGAACGATGACCTGATCTGACCTGACCCATGTTGGGAACAGAACTTGTCGGAATGGACTCCCCAAAGTCTTAACACCTATTTCCGTGCACTCAATATCCGTCTTGATGTGAAAACATAGGTTTTAGCTGCATCTATCAGGACAAACATTTTTTACCTGTCACAACCTCTGGTGACCGCACATTTAACCTAAGATCACAAATTTGGTCTGCGTTCTTCATGATTTGACGCGGCCCTAACAAGGGTTTCTTTGTCTCTCTCAAACGGCCTCTGGAAATCGGAGATTCTGGGAGAGAGTCCCGGCCGAGCGTAGTTGTCTCAGACCCCGGCCGGGCGCAGGTTAGAGCCTTTGCTTACATGCTCTTTGTCCAGGCATTATTTTCCTCCAGCATTACAATATGTACAGAGCATCATCTTCACAACCGATTAGCATATGATAAACAGACAACTTGCAGCTTGTACAAAGGTGAGCAGCGCGGGTCGAAATCAGACCCGGACCTCGACCGCCCGACGGCGTGGCAACACCGCATCACAACCGCTTGACGAGGCAGAGAGCGGATAACCGCGCTCAGGCGAGAGCGTGGGTCGATGGGCGCAGCTGAAGACGAGTCGTTGATCCGCCTGTTTTAGGGGCGTTGTAACGGCTCGGGTCAGATCTCGGCAGCCACACAGGAGAGGTAAAGGGGTGGAGCAAGCTGCACGATGCGGGCCACTTTGCCGTGTGCTGCTCACTAAGTGGTGTGAGAATCCGTGCCGCAATACCCTGTAAGTGATGTGAGAATCCGGTCCGCAATACCCTGTAAGTGATGTGAGAATCCGGTCCGCCACACCCTGTGGCTTAAGACGCGAGCGGAGCCCACGCAAGTGTGCGATCAAGTTTGCTGGGACCGGTATCCATACGAATGTTTGCATTTCTCGCAATGCGTTGGTCATACATGCCAAAAGCGTGGGTAGCTACAAGCTCACTAGCGCCGTTGACTCGAATTCCCAGACGTGGTCAGGCTCTTAGCCAGCTATTCGTTATGAAATGGTTCTGGTGAACGAGCGCGTGAACCTGGCATCGATGCGTCTTTGTTCTTAAAAAGAACTATCTGCTTGCTAGACTGCATTGAAAGACAAACCTACCAGCGCATTAGTTGGTCATGTCTGTGACTATCCAAAGGTGATTGGCTCAATCATCTGAGGCGGGCATCATCTGCACTGTCCCATGGCACTTCTTGGCCAACGGTCCATGCGTCCACATTCACCTGAGCAGCACGCGCGATCAGAAGGAGAACTGTGTAATCACTTCCTTCCACACGCACATTGCCGCTGACATCGGCAGCCCTAAATGCCCCAAGCAATTCCCCTTCATTCTGGGCAGGGGCGGATCCAGTGCCATGCCGGGCATGGCACATCGTGATAATCCATAAATCTCAAGCACGTCGTCACCTCGCTTGCCCACCGCTGCTTTGTGCGTGTAACGGATGCGTTGCTCAGCTATCTTTTCAGCTAATCATTTCTGCGGTGGTCGTTACATTTGGTTGACTGTGACAAGGATCGTTTATTTGCTGTATCGACATTTACATATCACTGCCCTGAACCTATTCGTGTTATCACTTGGTGCACATATCACATGGTCATTCCTGGTCCGATGTGCTAAGAACAATCACCTGCTTTAGAACATGCCATTGACACGGATAAGTTTCCCGGTAAGCACGCATTTGATTACCTCAGAAAACGGTTTTAGAAGTCCCATGACATTGATGCGGATAAGTTTCCCGGTAACCATGCATTTGATTACCTAAGAAAGCGGTTTTAGCGGAGGCATATTGTTACTTTGAAAAAATATGGTGCTGCACTCCAACAGCTCATACCAATTGTCATCGTAAATATGAAATTTGCGTTCCAGGTTCCCTTTTCCCGGTAAACCAAGGGCTCCAAAAGCTCAAGCAGATATCAGGCTAAAATATCAGTTTGTTTAGAATGTCTGAGGCAGTTGCAGCAATATGGTTTGGGCTTGTACAGAAATGGCTCGTACAAATACAAAATGACTTGTACCAATACAAAATGACTTGACATTGTTAATATTTTTAATGAAAAATATCACAATATACTGATGCTTTTTGGCAGAGGTTTACGGAGATATTGAGCTAGCTTGTCGTATAACAAAGCCGTGCCCATTGGATTTAATATTGCAATATCATGGAATAGATCACGGCAAGGCAGTTTCAGAAGTACCAAAGCGAACGTAATTTGCACCCTTTCGTCCTTGATTTGACATTGTGCACTTCTTTTGAGTTGCTTAGCACATGCGCACTATTTGGTAAACCAACTAGCTGCTCCGCTTGTGCCTGACCATTGCCATCTTGGTGCCATGTGCGTTGATCTTGGTTTGAAAGTCAGAACCGTCTGACTTGTGGCCTTTACTAGCTTTGATAGTTTTACACGTTCCAATCGCTTTCTTCAATGCTACCTGTATTCGCTACGCTGTATTTCGCAGTGGTACAGTGCTGCAGTGCACTTCAGTGATTAGCCGCCGTTCTTATGCGGCCACACACAGCAGTAACAAACAGGCAAGCGTTCTCTCGGCAGCGTCGGACAGCTAGGCAGGCGGACACCGTGTTCTCGCGTCGGGTACGTGTCGTACAGGACGTCTGGGAGCGCCGCCGGGATGAGGGGTGGGGGGGGGGGGGAGGGGGGCTCTGATCTGTACTCCGAATAATAGGCACAGCATTGATTAATCTAGAGCGCTCATGATGTTCCACAAATGGCTGCCTGGGGCTAATTAACCCGAAATGCATCGTTCAGTTACATCGGAGTTTAATTAGTCCGTTGCTGGGGACTCCACAGGCATTCTATACAACTCCTCCGTGGGCACCGAAATCTATGATATTTTGGACGCGTGATACGCAGCGTTCT